AAGACCAAGCACAGTAGCTCACAGCTATAATCCTAACACTCTGGGAGATTCAGGTGGGTGGATTACTTGAGTTCATGAGTTCAAGGCCAGCCTGAGGAAGAGCAAAACCCTTGTCTCTACCAAAAATAGAAAAACTAGCTGAGTGTTGTAGCATGCCCCTGTCGACCCAGGTACTTAGGGAGGCTGAAGGCAGAGGATTGCTTGAGCCCAAGAGTTTGAGGTTGCTGTGAGCTATGATGTCATAGCCCTCTACTCAGAGCTACGGAGACTCTCTCTCAAAAAAATAAATACATAAATAATAATTTTTTTTTAACAGAAGAAAAAGAAAAGTCAAGGCAGGGCATGGTGGCTTCACGCCCTATCACTTTGGGAGTCTGGAACTTGAAAACTGCTTGAGGCCAGAAGTTCAAGACCAGCCTGAGCAAGGGTGAGACCCCATCTCTACAAAACCAGAAAAATTAGCCAGGTGTGGCAGCAAACATCTTTAGTCCACCTTCTTGAAAAGCTGAGGTAGGAGGATTGTTTGAGCCCAGGAGTTTGAGGTTGCAGTGCGCTATGATAATGCCACTGTACTCTCGCCTGGGCAATAGACTTTTTTTAGATGCTGTATCTAAAAAAGAAAAAAAAAAACCAACCAACCAACAAAACAAAACAGAAATCAAAATAGCCAGACTGGCTTGGCACCTATAGCTCAAGCGGCTAAGGCGCCAGCCTCATACACCAGAGCTGGCAGGTTCAAACCCAGCCTGGGCCTGCCAAACAACAATGACAACTACAACCAAAAAATAGCCAGGCATTGTGGTGGGTGCCTATAGTCCCAGCTACTTGGGAAGCCGAGGGAAGAGAATCGCTTGAGCTCAGGAGTTGGAGGTTGCTGTGAGCTGTGATGCCACAGCATTCTACCCAAGGTGATAGGTCTCTGTCTCAAAAAAAAAAAAAAATAGCCAATCTATGTCTGTGAAACCTCACATGTTCTGGGTCCCCACCTGAATGTGACAGCTTCCCCATCTGCAGCAGAGGTGGCCAAGGAGAAATTAACAGTCCCTCTTAGTGTTGGGAGAGCTGGGGCCAGGCCCCCCTTTCTAAGATTCTGAATTTGCAACAGTTTAATATTTAGGTCTACAAGCAAGACTGTGGGAGATGCCTGCCACTTCCTTACCTGCACAGGTGGGGGAACCTGGGGCATAGGCTGGTCCAGGGACGTGAAGGCTGACATGGCAGACATGAGCACATCATCGCTCACCAAGATGTTCCCCTGCACCAGTGTCTGGATCAGTGGGGATGGGGGCACCGTGATGTATGTGGAGATCTGGATGGTGAGAGAAAGAGAATGGGAATGAGAGAGGGTGTGTGAACATGTCTGAGGCTTTGTAAGGAAGCTGAGAGCATGGTGCAGAAGTTCCAGGTTCTAGAGTCCCACTGACCTGGGTTCCATTTCCACCTCTGCTGCTCCCTGCTGCGTGACCTAGGCAGATCCTTCTACCTCTCTAAGCTTCCATTTAATCATCTACCAAACAAGGAGAATAAGTCATGCATCTCTGTAAGGCACATACCCTATGACCCAGCAATAATACTTCCTGGTATCTACCCTAGAGAAACACTCAGGCATGCCCACAGGAAGTCCAGAACCAGAGTATTCTGCATTCTGCATAGCCTTGCTTCTAATAGTGAAAAACTATAAATAATCTAAATGTCTATAAATAGGGGAAGAAATTGAAAAAATACACAATATAGGCTTGGCACCTGTAGCTCAAGCAGCTAAGGTGCCAGCCACATACACCAGAGCTGGCGGGTTTGAATCCAGCCTGGGCCTACCAAACAACAATGACAGCTACAACCAAAAAATAGCCTGGCATTGTAGTGGGCACCTGTAGTCCCAGCTACTTGGGAGGCGGAGGCAGGAGACTCGCTTGAGCCCAGAAGTTGGAGGTTACTGTGAGCTGTGATGCCATAGCACTCTACCCAGGGCAACAGCTTGAGGCTCTGTCTCAAAAAAAAAAGGTGAAGGGAAGCAGGTATTACTTGAAAACATATAAATCAATAGTAAAATTAATAATGTCACACAAAGGACAATAGTGAGGATGATAGACCTTATAAGAAGGTGTCTGGCAGGACATGGTGGCTCATGCCTGTAATTCTATTACTCTGGAAGGCCAAGTTGGGTAGATTGCCCGAGCTCAGGAGTTCCAGACCAGCCTAAGCAAAAGTAAGACCCCATTCTACTAAAAATAGAAAAACTAGCTAGCATTGTGGTGGGTACCTATAATCCTAGCTACTTGGGAAGCTGAGGCAAGAAGATCACTTGAGCTCAAGAGTTTGAGATTGCTGGCTCGGCGCCTATAGCTCAACCGGCTAAGGCGCCAGCCACGTACACCTAAGGTGGCGGGTTCAAATCCCCAGCCCGGACCCGCCAAACAACAATGATGGCTGCAACCAAAAAATAGCCGGGCGTTGTGGCGGGCACCTGTGGTCCCAGCTACTCGGGAGGCTGAGGCAGGAGACTCGCTTGAGCCCAGGAGTTGGAGGTTGCTGTGAGCTGTAATGCCACGGCACTCTGCCCAGGGGGACAGCTTGAGGCTCTGTCTCAAAAAAAAAAAAAAAAAAAAAAAAGAGTTTGAGATTGCTATAAGCTATGACACCATGCATTCTACCAAGGGTGACAAAGTGATATTCTATTTCAAAAAAAAAAAAAAGTGTCAAACATCACTGATGATTGTAAAGGGTACTCTGTTTGGTTTGTTTTCTCTTTCTCTTTACTGACAGGCCCTTGGCATCTTACTAGTTCACCTGTCTCTGTGAAACCTCCAACTACAGAGACTCTGGTCCCAGTGCTCAGAGTCTCTGTTCAGAGAGGTGATGTTTTTGCCCTCAGTCAAGCAAAGGTAACCCAGACAGGTTAGGGAAATGCCCCGTGTTATGGCCAGGAAAGGTTTCATAGATTCTAGCCTGCCTCTATTTTTACAATGTCATATGAGTTACCCTAAGATGAAAAATGAGAAATCACATCCTATTTTTTATCTAAGTCATTTAGTTGGGGTGAGGAGGACTCTCTGCTTGCCCACACCAACTGCTTGTATTCTGAAGTTTTTTCCTTGTCCAGTATTGGAGGAATTTCCCTCTCTCCTTTTATTGAAAAAAAAGGGTGGAAGGGGACTATTTTCTTTGAATAAAACTCACAATCAAGGAGTGAGAAAAATGAGTATGTTCTGTGCTAGAAGATGTCTGTGGTAGACTCAGCACTTGTAGCTCAGTGGTTAGGGCGCTGGCCATATACACTGAGGTTGGTGGGTACAAATCTGGCTCAGGCCTGCTAAACAACAATGACAACTGCAACAAAAATACAGCCAGGCTTGAGGTTGCTGCGAGCTGTGATACCACAGCACTCTACCAAGGGCAACATAGTGAGACTCTGTCTCAAAAGAAAAGAAAAGGATGTCTGTAGTAACTTGAAAAGTTTCAGTCCAGGTCTGGGGAGAATGCTTTTGTTTTTATGGCAGAATTACATCTTCATAATGGATGAAAATAATGTTCTAAAGCAATAAAGGAAAAGGAAGCTAGAGGGAAACTTGACCCCTTGACCTGGCATCCTGAGCCTCCTTTATGGAAGAGTCTTTAACTTTAAGAGCCCTCCACCCAGAGTGTCTTTGCTCCAGAACTATATTCTTTTTTTTTTTTTTTGCAGTTTTTGGCCGGGGCTGGGTTTGAACCCAGTATCCCTGGCATATGGGGCCGGTGCCCTACTCCTTTGAGCCACAGGCACCACCTAAATCTTTATTCTTGACTGAGGACTCTAGAAGCTTCTCTGATACCTGCAGCCTGGCCTTCTCCTGAACTCTCCAGATCAGGTGTCCTCAAACTTTTTAAACAGGGGGCCAGTTCACTGTCCCTCAGACCATTGGAGGGCCGGACTGCGGGCCCTGGGACGAGTCAGCTGCTAAGCAGGACAGACAGTGGTGGCAAAAACATCCGGCGGGCCGGATAAATGTCCTAGGGGGGCCACATATGGCCCGCGGGCCGGCCGTAGTTTGAGGACACCTGCAGTCTAGATCAGTCTAGATCATCACTGTCTCCATGTAAATGTCCAAGACCATCTCAAATCCAACTTGTCGAGCAGAACTACTGATTTATTAGAAAATCTTCTCCCAGAAACACCCCATTTCCTTTAATGGCAATTTAAACACACAAGCCACCCTTGATTCTCCTTTATTTCACAGTCCTCGCCCAGCTGATCCACAAACTCAGTCAGCAACATTGTCAAGATGTTTCTGAAATCTCACCCCTTCTCACCACCTCCACTGCCAGCACTCTGCTCAAACACCACCATCCATTCCCTGGATTTGTACAATAGCCCCCTAACAGGTCCCCTAGCTTTCTCTCTTGGCCCCATCAAAATCTATTCTCTAGCTGAGTGTTGTGGTGGGCACCTATAGTCCCAGCTACTTGGGAAGCTGAGGCAAGCTGTGAGCTGTGACACACAGCACTCTACCAAGAGCAAAAAAGACTCTGTCTCAAAAAAAAAAAATGTATTCTCTGTACAGAAGCCAGAGTGACATGGCTAAAGTGTACATCAGAGAATGTCCCTCTTCTGCTCAGCACCCTGCCTCTCTGACTGCCATCTCATTGTGGGTGAAAGCCCACAGGACTCACACAGTCTTCTAGGACCCACCCTCTCAACTCACATTCTCTCCTACCCAGCCCTGCCACTATCACTTCCCAGATCAAGGGGTCAAATTTCCCTCTAGCTTCCTTTTCTCACTTCCTTGTAGCTCCTGATATCAACTCAGCACATGCCCACCTCCCGACCTCTGCACCTGGCTGCTCCCTCTACCTGGATCACTCTTCCCCAAACTAGCAGCATGATTCACTTCCTCACTTCCATAGGTATCCACTCAAATGTCACCTATTCAGAGTCCTCCTCCAAGCACCATATACAACATGGCAAAACCTCCCATCCCATCTTGATATCCCCCACCCCTCTGCATTTAATGTGCTGAGAAAATACATCTTTATTTGTCTGTGTACTATGCATCTTACCAACTCCACAAGGCTAATGACTTGGTCTATCTCACCCATACCTGTAATCTCAGAGCCCGGCACAGTGCCTGATACTCAGTAGGTGACCAAAAAAAGACCTGCTCAATGAATGAATGAACAAATGAATGAATGAATACCTGGCGATTGGCAGGAGGTGGGGCCTGCTGGACTGCTGTGGGTGCTGCTGACGGTGTGTAGATGCTGTTGGTGGCCAACGAGACTGTGGCCAGGGCAGGGGCATTCCCCTGGCACTGTTCCCGCTTATGGGTCATAAATGCTGGCAGCGAGTTGAACTGCTTCTTACACTTCCCACAGAGAAAGACATCCTCATCATCTAGGGGTCATACCCACGGAGTAGTGGGAAGGGGCCACAGATGGAGCAGAGTAATGAAAACAAAAAGCAAGAGTAAGTCAGGAGGCATCACTGTGAGAAACAGGAGGAGACCTGTGGCTGACCACGAGAACAGCAATCTGAGCAGTACCCCATCAGTCGGTGTGCATGGTCAAGCATCAACTATATGCTTCTTAGCAGCTTTCAAAAACCACATCAGCACCTGCAGGAATAGCCAGCGATGTGAGGCCAGTTACTAAGTAAATAGAAATCAAGAAATAGACTGGGTGCATATCTGTAAGCACCTGTAATCCTAACACTCTGGGAGGCTGAGGGAGAAGGATCACTTGAGCTTAGGAGTTCAAGACCAGCCTTTGTAAGAGTGAGACTCCTGTTTCTACTAAAAATAGAAAAACTAGCCAGGCATTGTGGCAGGGACCTGTAGTCTTGGCTACTCAGGAGGCTGAGGCTTGAGGATCACTTGAACCCAAGAGTTTGAGGTTGCTATAAGCTAGACTGAAGTGGGTTCACTTCAAAGCTGAGCAATTCAAAAATCTTTATTTTTTTCCCTCAGATCCAACTGCCTGTAGAACCTCAAAATCTTTATCCTGCCTGAATTTATTCATCAGTCCCCAAATGGGCCATGTGTTCACACTCCTCTATGCCTTTAGAACCCTGTCCCCCAACGCCAAGCTTCTTCTCTCAGAAAAACTGCTTCTACAAGGCTCAGCTTGGATGTCACCTCCTCCAGGAAGCCTTCTTTTTTTTTTTTTCTTTTTAAGACAGAGCCTCTCTCTCACCCTAGGTAGAGTGCTGTGGTGTCACAGTTCACAGCAACCTCAAACTCTTGGGCTTAAGCGATTCTCTTGCCTCAGCCTCCCAAGTACAGAACTACAGGCACCCACCACAATGTCTGGGTAGTTTTTCTTTTTCTTTCTTTTTTTTTTTTTTATAGACAGAGTCTCACTTTATCGCCTTGGGTAAAGTGCCATGGCATCACAGCTCACAGCAACCTCCAACTCCTGGGCTTAGGCGATTTTCTTGCCTCAGCCTCCCAAGTAGTGGTGGCCCAGCAATTTTTTTGTTGCAGTTTGGCTGGGGCTGGGTTCGAACCCAGCTCAGTATATGGAGCTGGCACCCTGCCCACTGAGCCACAGGCACTGACTGCCCTGGCTAATTTTTCTATTTTTAGTAGAGATGGAGTCTTGTTCTTGCTCTGGCTGGTCTTGAACTCCTGAGTTAAAGCAATCCACTTAGGTTTCCCAGAGTGCTAGGATTAGAGGTGTGAGCCACCATGCCCAGCTCCAGGAAGCCTTCCTAATACCAATGGCTACAGTTCCATCCTCTAGCAAACCTGTCATTCTACAGTTTTCTCATCACTACCAGCCTGCAAATTCCCTAAGGGAAGGAAATGTATCTTATTTTATCACCATAACTACAATATCTCCTGGGCTCATTAGGGGTTCTCAAAAGATCTTTGTTGAGTGAATGAAGAACTAAATGAATGATTAGCTATAGTTACTACCACCCATTACTGTCCTATCACAGCCATGCACTGTGTCAAGCACCTAACAAGTTATAAGAGAAATGTCTAATTATTATTCAATTCTAATTATATCCTTCTTATGCTTAATTCAAATGTTAGTGGGAAACATGGCATTCTTGTTAATGTATTTCCCAGCTTTCTTTGCAGTTAGGCATGTCATGTGACAGGATTCTGACCAATGGGACCAGGATAGCAGTGTACTGTGCATGCAACTTCCCTGTTTTCTTCCCTTCATGCTGGCTGGAAGGTGAAAATCAAAGTGGGAGCTGGAGCAGTCACCCTGGACTGCAGCTTGAGGGCAATAGAGTCACATTAAGAAGGGATCTGAGGGGCGGCACCTGTGGTTCAGTGAGTAGGATGCCAGCTCCATATACCAAGGGTGGCAGGTTCGAACCCAGCCCCAGCCAAACTGCAATAAAAAATAGCCAGGCATTGTGGTGGGTGCTTGTAGTCTCAGCTACTCAGGAGACTGAGGCAAGAGAATCACCTAAGCCCAGGAGTTGGAGGTTGCTGTGAGCTGTGATGCCACAGCACCCTACTGAGGGCGACAAAGTGAGACTCTATCTCTAAAAAAACAAAAGAGGTCTGATTTTCACCATACCCCTTCCAAATGCTCATCAGGACTCCATGTAACTGAGAAATAAATTTTAATCTCATAGAAACCACAAGAAACTTTCATTTCTTATCTATAACAGCTGAAACTGAATCCTAAGTATTCTCATAAGATTCTTACAAGGTAAGACAATTACCCCCCATTTTATAGACGTGGAAACTGAGTAGAAACTATGGAGACAAGGATTTAAACCTAGGTGTGTATCTCTCTGTCCCTAGTATAATCCCCAAGTGCTCAAAAACGTTTGTGGAATGAATAAATGAATACATAGATTCACACAGAAACTTCCAAAAGTAGTCTCTTGCTCTCACTGTGTCTCATGGGCCTGGCCTATAAACCAAAGAAATCTAGGCTCAGTCTGATCTTTCCATAGAGAGGAGGCTAAAAAAAAATCACCTCCAGAGCAAAGGTGCCAAGCATCAGGGCTCCCACCACTCCCTACATCAAAATCCCATCTCCCCACATTCATTAAGGAGATGAGAGAGGGTGTCCCCAGAGCTAAGTAAAATAAGGCATGAGACCAAAAATCCAGGTTGGGAGGAAGAGGGTTCAAACACCAGAAGGCATCCTAGGGCCCACAGTGGGCAGTTCACACCTCCACATGAGCCCCCTCATCCCATTCTTCACGAGGAACCCATTCACCCTTCCACTAATGAACCCAAGCAGATACTCACCCAGTGGCTGGATAGCAGGGGGTGCACTGACACTCTGGCCTGTTGGATCAGGGACTGCTCCTTGGCCATCCAACAATGACTGGACAGCCAGAACAGTCTGATTGTCCATCCCTGAAAAAACAAATGTAGCCCTGTGGAAGTGTGCTCAGCATCCTGCTCTGACTTCACTTTTACAAGCCAGACCCACTGCAACCCCCCACGGCAAAGACAGCTGGCTGTGCCCCAGCATATCTTCTCTTCTACTTCCATGGTAATAGAACCCAAGATTTTGGACTGAAAACATGGTCCCAGAATAAAAATTACACTTCCCAGCTCAGCGCCCATAGCTCAGTGGCCAGGGAGCTAGCCACATACACTGGGGCTGGTGGGTTTGAACACAGCCCGGGTCTGCTAAATAACAATGACAACTACAACAAAAATATAGGCTGGTGTTGTGGCTGGCGCCTGTTAGTCCTAGCTACTTGAGAGTCTGAGGCAAGAGAATTGCTTAAACCCAAGAGTTTGAGGTTCCTGTGAGCTGTGACACCATTGCACACTACTGAGGATGACATAATGAGACTCTGTCTCAAAAAAAAAAAAAAAA